CAACGAGTAGCTTACAATAATAAACAAGCGTAGGAAATAAATTCCGTGTAACGCGGACCATCTGTCGGCCAGCACGGCCGGCTATGTAGTAGTAGTGGTCGGTCCACGCCATGTTAGTATAAAGGCTGGCAGACACACGGCCCACTGGGAGACACTATACCAGCCTAAAAATTACTCTTTTTTTACGAGAGCTCTTTTTGAGTTTTGTATGAAAAAAAGAGCTCTCGTCAATTTTTTTTACGGGGAGCTATTTTTAGCTTGGCCAGAGTCTACTGTTTCATTAGACATGATTTTTGTTTAAAATTTCATAGTATGTTTGATGCACTGACTCTAATTATCCTTATCAGCGATTCAAGCACTCAGCACGCAGTATGCACAGACTATAGTGAAACCAAATGTGACATTCGATCGGCATCATGTTTTTTTTAATCTCATTCTCCTCGACCTAAGAAACACCATCACATTCTTATCTACAATTTCAATCACACAGACAGACATGCACTATACACAGTACAACATAGTCCAGAGAAACATGACAAAGACACGAAATGCAAGAATTATAAATCACGGTGAATGATCTGTAGGTTATTTTCAAGTTCTTTTTTTACTTTCATTTCTTTTCATCTTTAACTTTCTTTGTACCATCGACTGAGCTAAGTTCAAGAACTTCAGAAGAGCAGTTTCTAGTTACTGTTGAGTGTATGTTAAAAAAAATTTACTGCGATATCTAAGGAATGCCGGGAGCGTTCTTGGGCAAGGTTTACTTTCGTTTTTCTCATCATCCTAGTCCACGGTACCCCCATGCATAGATCAATGCTGAGCCGCACCATCGCGCAAAGTTCAGAAGTGCCTAGAATCTTTAAAGGCCCGTAGCCAGTTATATAATTAGCGGGGGAGTGTTCTTTTTAATGTTTGCATTTTTGTGAGGCGCGGGGGGGCGAGCGGACCGGGTGGGGGGTGGGAGCGAGGGAAGGTCAGGGCAGAACGAGGACGTACGGAGTCAAGGCGAGGGGTGGTGTTGGAGGGGGGTATCCCCCCCTGCCCGCACGATGAGAGATTTTGCAATTATTAACTAAAATGGCAGCGATCTGGTGGCATACTTGAGGTGAAAGTCTCTTTGCAAATTTTTAAAAGGGAAATTTTATTTTTATGTTGCTTGGGGAGTGTGCTTTGGAGGGGGGGCGGGTTCGTGCGAAACCGCCCCCGAACAGCCGCTGGCACGGCCTGGTTTAAGCTATATACAGTTTAACATTGCTTCTAGATATCGTAAGCTGAATAAAAATAGTCCCCTTTCTAAAAAGTGACGAAATTCAGTAAGCAGCTTTTTGATTACGGCGTGTTCAGGTGCTGCACTGGTCGTGCCCATCTACTCCATACGATAAACGCCCTGCGATATAGTAAAAACTCTATTGTTATTGTTATTGTTATTTTTATATGCGGTCATAAAAACACTGGCATTGCAACCTACATTCGGGATGCGCGCAATCGATTCTCTTAGACTGTCGCGAGTTTTTGTTTCGTGGTGGCCGACATCAGCGTTGAAGGGAGGTTTTCATGCAGCTCTAGGACGATCTGCAGCCCGGATTATCGCAGCGCAAGCGCGAACAGTGCGCCTCGCGGCGCCTTTTGATCGAATTCGCTGCTCTATATTAGCAATGGCCGACAGATGGTCCGCGTTACACGGAATTTATTTCCTACGCTTGTTTATTATTGTAAGCTACTCGTTGGTCCGCAATACATCGCCACCAACAAGCAACGGTTACGTGTGTGGCAACGATCCATTACGAAGCTCCGCGCTGTGACGTCACAGGCTGGCCAACTGATGAATGGATGTTTTATGTCTTTTATGTCTGCGTGATCACGTAGCATGCTAGCTCTAGTACTATAGCCCGCGTACCTGCGGCAACTGTACGCGGGCTATAGTACTAGAGCTAGCAGCATGCACGATCCAAAAACCGATTTAATGCGAACCATCACGGAGAAATTCATCAACGAGAAATAGAAAGTTCGCTTTTTGTGTTTTTCTGTAATGTTTACCCGTCACTTCCCAGTGTAAATATGTCCCGAGCCATTATATATGTGTAATTTCATACATGATGCGATGGTATGGCACATGCATGCTGCGTACACGCAGAAATGCGTGTGTCCTGGAGAGACATTGTAGAGCCGCATGTACTGTAATTCCTGATTTCCAACTAGCTACATCTACACATACGAGCTATGTGCAATTCCATAGAGAATGGATAGGGCCTAGCGCATGTTAAGTAAGATTTAATTATTAAGTTATTAATCCTGCCGACGGAACAGCCTGGTATTGATTCGTTGTCCGAGTTTAGGATGCGTACGTACGAGTGTAATACGCGCATAGTATAAATGACTTGTATCTCATGTATGCAGAAATAGTTGTAGTTGACAACTGATTTGAATTTGATTTGAACTGATTTATTGATTGATTGAACTGATTTGAAAGCTTATTAATGTAACAACAGCAATATAACGCCTGAGATGACCAGCCGAGGAACATCATGCAGTTCCGTAAGCCTTGTTAAAAGTGTCTATCAGCGAGTCGCGTGCCAGAAACGTGAGCCACGGAGTGAACACCATACGTCTTCTCAGCCTATACCGATATCATTATCCGCAGCTCATACCCGGCCTCGCGTACGAACCGCTGGTACGCAGTGGGATGTTCGAACCATCGTCCATGGTGGAGAAATCCGATGTGAGATCAGCAGGACTATCGATGCCGAAGCATTTGACTAATCTCTTAAGCTAGCAGTACCTCACAAGGAGCGACTGCCACCGGAGAGGGATCACCGCTGGGGTTGCGCGCCTGTCGAAAGCTCAGGGCGAAGAGATACCATCTTCAGCGGGATTAAACGCTGCTGCTCGGCTTTTGTAGTACGCTATGACTACAGGCAAAAGTCAAATAACTTTTCTTGCTACATAACCGTCGCTAGGCTATATTAATAAGTACTTTCTATGTTATCTAATTAAACGATGTAAGCCTATATGTCGTTTGGTCAGAAGCCCAAAAAATCCGACTGCGCCGACTTCGTTAGCCCGGGTGAAATGTATAGACGTAATTTATCATTTACATCTAGCGCCTACTCTTACACGCTATGTGCATGCGCTCCAGATGTAGAGCATGGATGTAGAGCCTAGCTCGAACTAATTAACTTTAACATTATTGGCCCTTCCGATGGAACAGCTTAATAGATTTTGTTCCGCTGACGCTGAGTGCGAGCAACGCAGCTGCAACATGCCGTGCTGCATTCATGCATGCATGCACAACTCTGCATGTCTGGCAACATCTATAATCAAACGATTAGCAACAGCAGCACACGCGATCGTGGAGAGAGGGATGCTAATAGAGGAGAAGGCGGAACATGGCCACGACGGTCGCTCCTGTGGGAGTTGTATATGTTGTATCAAGAGCTAATAATACTTATAGGAATTATTAGCTCTTGATTGTATCCTATAGTAGAATAAACCTAGCTATGTCTGTACGTCGCGTGTTCGCTCATCGTTGACGAGCACCGCGCACACACACACCTTGCAGGATCCAACGCTATATTTTAGACTACGATCCAGACTCACAGTATGCCTACAGAATAGCACTGTGGTTGAACACAAAGCTGCACGATCAAAGTCTGTATGACAATAGCAGTATTCAGGTGAATGCAGACAGAAGCTATATAGGTTCCTGAGGCAGACGAAAGATTGGCTACACATGCAGCTGAATGTAGGCTGAAAGTAAAACGTAAAGTAAATAACATCGCAGCACTAAGCATACGTACGAGGTCGCTACACATTTACAGACGAATGTCATAGAAATCAGTTCGTCGTATATTTGTAAAAACTCGTCCATGTTTATTTATGATTGTATTAACGAGTGTCGCGTATTAATTTATTAATTTGTGTTTACAATTAGGTATTTGCAGCAGTCTAAGCTACCAGTGAGGCTGGACATTCTCAAACAAGACAATGCCAGCGACTGGCACAAGGTAATGACAATGGTCGACAATATAGTCAAGTTTTAAACGTGTTATAACAAGTTATTTATATATTTATTATTGTACTTGCGATATCATATAATCGCGGCGAGAGAGATCGCACGAGAAGCCCTTGAGAGGGTGCCACTGGCGTCACCGCTCATGCACACGTGCCCGCATCACATCCGCCTTAGCTGGTTAACTCTTCTTTCGGGTCAGACTGGCATATCTCCAGCACCCAAACCACGTATGCAGTTTGCATTACGACTAAGTTGCATATAGTATATGCCACTATCGTCATCGTTGATTGGCGTCGCCGCCCGCCAGGTGGACGCGTGGCAGGAGCGAGAGCTGTACAACGACAACAGCGACGTCATACGGCAGCTGGCGGCGTTTCTCAAACACAAGGACCAGCATCTGCGCGTCGTGACGAAGGAGGAGAATCCGTTCGTCATCATCTCCGAGCCGCACCTGGACGTGCAGGGCCGGTGTATAGGTGGCGCCAAGTGCTTCACATACGAGCCTTCGCCACGCCCACCCGGCAGGTAGGAACGGGATAGCTCGTCCGCACGCGCACCGACTCACTCGCACGCACACATGCAAACGTACGCACGCGCACGCACACACGCACGCACGAACGCACGAACGAACGAGCATACACGCACACACGCGCACGCACGCACGCACGCACGAACACACACGCGCACACACGCGCACGCACGCACGCACGCACGCACGCACGCATGCACGAACGAACACACACGCACACACACACACGCACGCACGAACGTGCACACAGACATGCCCGATACCTGACGATGAATGCATAAAGAATATGAAAAATATGATGACAAACAGAGGGACGTTGACCTCATGATGTCGCCTGTAAATTCATGATTTTGTAAGCAGGCTAACCAGGCAGACAGGGAATGAGGAGAACAAACTGTTAACTACTGATATTGTAGGCATGACAACGACACCGAGGAAGAGGAGGAGCTAGAGACGGATAACATGGAGGAACATATCATGTGCTGCTCGGGGTTCTCCATCGATCTTCTGGAGGCAGTTCGCAAGAAAATGGACTTCACCTACACTTTGTACCGTGTCAAGGACCAGAAGTGGGGAACGGTAACTATAGCTGCGTTCACACGTATACACGGCTTAGCTGGTGCCGTACTTAGTTAGTGCTAAGTCCGGTTAAACTGCATTCACACGAGATACACGAGATTCGAGGCTTAGCTAGCCAGGAATAATATAGACTGGTACCCGGTCGACAGTTTCACACGCTACACTAACGTCGTGCAGCGAACGGGTACCAGTCTAGGTGAGCAATACGCGGCCAGCGTGGTGCCGAATATACGCGGCTTAGTTGGTGCGGAATATGATTCCGCGCTTAGCAAGCCGAAGCAAGCCGTGGCTAAGCAAGCCGCGTATATTTTAGCGTGTGAACGCAACTTTTCTTCTCGTGTGAACGCAGCT